GTGGCCAGGTGGGAGCCGTCACCTGTGCCCCCCGGTTCTGGGCCTGCCCGGCACACCTGTGAAGGCTGCTCAGTCTGCTCCCTCGACAGGGGCAGAAAGTGAGGCCCAGAGACCTGAAGTGAGGTGCCAGGGTCGCCCAGAAGTGAGCCCAGGTCTGGGCCGTCACCCCCACCCCCTATTGATGACCAGCACTTGCCCTGGGGCCAGTGCTCCGTTACCCGAAGCACCTGTCAGTGTGAGAGTGCTGCCTGCCCTGGTCTCTCCTGCCTGCCCCACGCCAAAGGGACCCCAGGCTCACCTGTCCTCTGAGTCACGGGGGTGGTGGGAGGAGCCTGGGCCTGAGACCTGCAGCCCAGTCCCCATTCCCACCTCTGCTGTGTGGCCCTGGGTAACTTGCTCTCCCTCTCTGGGCTTGAGTCTCCCCATCCATCCCTTGAGGAGAGGGTTCCCTAGTCTCCCAGGGAGAGGGGTGCTCGGGTGACGCAACCCACCAGCTGTGAAGTGCCAGGAGCTCCGGTGAGGGGAGGGCTCACCATCAGTGTCGGGGGCGGCCCGGGGTGGGGCAGGGCAGGGCAGGGGTGCTCCGGGCCTGTGCTGTCTGGTGGCCGATGGCCTCATGCGGTATTTAAGCTTATTAACTATTAAGTTAGTTAAAATGACATAAGCTGGAACACTCTGCTTCCTGGTCACACCGGCCCATCTCAGCGCTCAGTGGTGACAGGTGTCCTGGGCTACTCTACCGGACAGCGCAGGGACAGAGCGTTTCCGCCGTCACGGAAGGTTCTGGTAGACAGTGCTGGCTGAAGTGGGCTCTAGACAGCAGCAGGTCAGCCGAGCCCCCTGGGGCCACGGCCAGAGCCCCCCAGGCCGGCCCAGCTGCATTAGGTCAGCGCTGCCCAGGGCGCAGGGTTCCCCCAGGGCATTCGGGGCAGGGCACGCCTGCCTGGGTAGGACCACCTGGCTCGGGCAAAGGCTCCGCCTCCTTGGCAAAGGGTCAGGGCCCCCACCAGCCGCTGTAGCCACCAGAAGGCCCCAGCAGGCGTCCTAATGCCCCGTGGAGAGCAGGCTTGGGACAGAGACTCTCCCACTCCCCAACTGTGACAAGATCTCCAGTCCTGGCTGTCCCCCTCCCAGCCTGCTGAGCAGGGGGCACACTGAGCCCCAGGGCTCCCCGGGTGCTCCCAGCTTATCCCTGCTCGTGGCAGCGGCAGGCAGACCCCAGCCCGGGGCGGGGCGGGGCACGGCCCTTGCAAACACACGGAAAACACTGGAGATTCCAGGGGACAGGTCCCCTCCTCTCTCCCGCTCCCTCTCCTGACACATGACATTCATTTACCTGCACCCTGTACGCTCAGCCGCTGGGCCCGTCAACCCCAGACCAGACACTTCTGCTTTCCTGGAAGGTTCCCACTGGGGCCCTGGGGAGCGGTTGGCAGAAGGTTCTAGAGTGAACCAGGAGGCTGGAACACCTCACTCCGTGTTTCTGAACCTCGGGGGCCTGGGTCGTAGGCGCCCTTGAGAACCATCAGGGTTCTGGGGGGGGTGTCCAGAAACTGCCCCCAGCTCATTTCACTCGTAAAGAGAGGAGGTCTCCCCCACCGAGGCCACCGCCCGAGGCAGCCCCTCCGCCCCTCCGCCCCTCTGACCCTGGTCTCGCCCCGCCATGCCACCACTCCTCGTCCAGCCCGAGATCCCGTCAAGAGCCCGTGTGAGCCAGGGCCCGTGGCAGGCACGGGGACGGCCCCGTGAGCAGGACCTGCTGCCGTCACGAGGCTCATGTCCGAGCGGGAGACAGACGCAGACAGACGCAGGAGGAGGGCCTGGGGCCAGCGGTGCTGGGTGCCGGGGAAGGCGGGTCAGGAGGCCCGAGGGTGCCAGGGTGCAACTTAAACAGGCTGCCAGGGACAGCCTCACGGGGCAGGACGTGCCACTAACACGGTATCCGGGGGAGGGCCTTTGGGCAGAGGGAGCGGCCAGCCATGCAAAGGCCCTGGGGTCGAAGGGTTGCAACCGGGCAGCAGAGTCCAGCGGGACCAAGGTGGTCGGCAGAGGCCAGGGAGGGCCAGTGGAGGGGAGAGCTGGGGCCAGGCCCAGAGACACCTGGAAGGCAGAGCCAGCGAGAGGTGCTGGCAAACTACAACGTGAAGGAGGAGAGGGCCACACTCACACAGCCCTTCACCCAGGACGGGCGCACTGCCCAGGCCACATGGCGGGTCGGCTCCGCCCCAGGGCCTTAGCACAGCAGGCTCGTGGCCCACCACCACCTCAGTCTGCCCCTTGTGCCCGTCCTTCCCGAACGCCTTCACTGCCACTTCTATCCGCTGTGCCGGAGAGGTGGGCTCCGCGCCATCTCCGTGCCAGTAGGTGTCTGGACACCAAGGGAGGGGCGGGGAGCGGGTCCCTCGCCCTGCCAGCGGGGTCTTCCCCATTACCCCCAGGCGGGCCAGCGGTGCCGCGTGCTCCCCTCGCCCCGATGCGCGCAGCGTGCAGGCCGTGACAGGGAGCCGGGACAGGCGTGTCCCTGACAGCCCTGGTGCAGCCAGCCGGGGCCGCCTGCTCCAGCTGACGACCGCAGGCACTAGCAGAGGGCCCTGTGCACCTGCCGTCCGCAGGGGTGGATTAGAGGGGCCTGGGCACCCACCCTCCGCAGGGGTGGGGGAGAGGGGCCTGTGCACCTGCCCTCCGCAGGGGTGGATTAGAGGGGCCTGGGCACCCGCCCTCCGCAGGGGTGCGTGAGAAGGCCCTGTGCACCCGCCCTCTGCAGGGGTGGATTAGAGGGGCCTGTGCACCTGCCCTCCGCAGGGGTGGGTGAGAAGGGCCTGTGCACCTGCCCTCCACAGGGGTGGGTGGGAGGGGCTTGTGCATCTGCCCTCCGCAGGGGTGGGGGAGAGGGGCCTGTGCACCTGCCCTCCACAGGGGTGGGCGAGAGGGGCCTGTGCACCTGCCCTCCACAGGGGTGGGTGGGAAGGGCTTGTGCACCTGCCCTCCGCAGGGGTGGGGGAGAGGGGCCTGTGCACCTGCCCTCTGCAGGGGTGGGGGAGAGGGGCCTGTGCACCCGCCCTCCACAGGGGTGGGCGAGAGGGGCCTGTGCACCCACCCTCCGCAGGGGTGGGGGAGAGGGGCCTGTGCACCTGCCGTCCGCAGGGGTGGATTAGAGGGGCTTGCGTACCCGCCCTCCACAGGGGTGGGAGAGGGCCCTGTGCACCTGCCCTCTGCAGGGCCAACACCCCACCCAGGCCCCTCCCCAGGGCCTCGGGACCCCAGGCGCAGTGGCGCCAGCAAGCAGGCCGTGTTAGGGGCTCAGGCCCCCTTCCTCCCCTCCTGACTTCCTGCCACGCTCCGCTGTGACGATTAGGCTCCTTCAAAGCACAGTTCTCCTGAAAGTCCTGACAGGCAGGACTCGGCCACCGTGAGGGTCACGGTGCTCATTTTGTCCCAGAACAATCTTAGAAAGTGCAGGTATGAAACGGGTGTCTTTAGAACAGAGCCCAGGGGGACCTGGCCTGTCTTCCAACACCGACCCTGGGCCTCCCACTCGGAGGCTGTGGTGTGGCCAGCTGGACGGAGCTGCGGAGCCTGGGAGGTGGCACCGCCAGCTGTCACCTCAGTGACCCAGGCTGGGCTGTTTGTCCTTGGCCGAGGAGGAAACACAAACACCGCAGGGAGCAGGCGCAGGGCGGCTTGTATCCCAGCTGCAGCCCCTGACAGTGAGTTGGGTGGAACCGGGGCTGGGGCCTCCCCCATCCTCAGCCTCTCCCGGGACAGGCCCAGCCCAAGGTCGTGGCCAAGCCGCAGCTGGGGGAGCAGGCCAGGCCATCTGGGGAGCCCCTCCCTTCCCGTCGCCCTTCCCTGGCTGCAGGCAGCCACCTCCTCCCTAGCCAGGCCTGTGGGGAGCTGGGAGGCTGCAGGTGTTCCGCAGCCTGGACTGCACGAAAGCCAGGGGCCCCCGCCACAGACTCGGGGCAAACTCTCTCTCCAAAGGCCGTCTGCAACCACACGTCTTCCCACGCTTCCACTCGACCCGCCCAGCCTGCCCCAGCTCAGCCCCCAGCGGGCTGCATGGAATGAGAACGCCCGAAGGCGGCCAGGGCCACCTGCACCCAGCTGCCTGCGTGGTGCTGTGGGCACCGGCTCCACCGTCCCCTGAGCGCCCGCCCCCGCCCTCGGCACACGCCGGGGCACGCGGGCCAAACCACGTGGTGCAGCTTCCCCGGGGCTGGCCCGGCCCGTTGGCGGCTCAGTGGGCAACAAAGTCCTTCCACCCGGACCAGGGCATGCGGGCCAAGGACGGGGCTGGGCTCACCAGGGACAGCGGGGGCACCCCCCACCCAGCAGGCCAGGTGCACTCACACCCGGCAGGCGTGACGGGGAAGGGCCAGAGCAGGGAGCAGGGGACAGGGCAGTGCCCACGACCGTGTCGGCCCCATGCCCAGCAAGGGTGGCGTGGGCAGGAGCTACGTCCCAACCCACAGCAAAGATGAAGGTCACCCAGGAAAGAGATGCCATCAGGCTCTTGCCCAGCGGCCACCCTTCCACCCGGGCCTGGTGAGCGAGAGGCTTGAGGGGAAACTAAGGCAGGAGCTCCCAATTCTGCATGGGTGAGGAAGGGCATTAGTCTGAGCCCCCACGCCCTGCTTCTGCTCACTGATTTCACGGAGAACAGGGGGCACAGGCAGGGGGGGAAGAGCTGCCTGGCTCCCTCCCTGAGAGCCGAGAAGCCACCACCTGCGGCCCCTGGGGCGGCCTTGATCTCGAGGACAGGGTGATGCCGCCCACGCCACACCCGTGGCAGACGGTGCCCGTCAACGGCCGTTTCTCCCCGACCCCAGACGCCACTGCATACCCCTCGACCAAGCCCCCCGGGCGGCCCACGGCCCAGCGAGGGTTAGAACGAAGCTGAGCCTGTCGCCTCCCGGCTTCTGCACGTTTTATAGCGTCTGCTGAGCACCTGCTGGAGGCGCCCAGAGGACGAAAGTCCGATCCCTGAGCCCCGGCGTTTGCAGGAGGACGAGGTGGATCGGAGCAGCCCAGCCTCTGCCACGACCACAGGACGCCCGCCTCGGTCTCTCTGTCCGTGTCTGGCGTGGGGGTGTTGGCAGGACCAGGCCCGGGCTAAGGAGGGCCCGGGTTGTGGCCGTGGCAGCAGGTGTCCGGACCCCTGAGTGGCGGGGCCCCGTCAGTAGATCCCCTTCACCCGCTTGCCGTCGGGGTCGAAGGGCGATTTCAGGTGGGCCCGGGCGGCGTAGGTCACCCCCATCCTCTCCAGGGCGTAGTCGCCGCTCCTCACGAAGTCCGGCGAGACCTGGGAGCAGAGGCGGACGGGGTCACTCGGGGCTGGCGGGCGCTGGGCTTCCCCTCCCTGCAGGCAAACCCGTCCCTGCGCCACAGCCTCCTGCTCGGACCCAGCGCGGCCCAGGCAGGCGGAGCTCGTGTCCGTCCACCTGCCCTGCGTCCGGCAAAGCCAGGTCTGGCGGCCAGTAGGATTCGCCCGCGGGACAAGGCGCCTCCCGCCCCAGCGGTGCCGGGTCCCTGGGAAAGCAGCAGCCTGTCCCCCCGGAACCCGGGCAAGCACAGCGGCTGGAACGGCGCCGGGCGGCTGGCGGCCAGCGGGCTGGAGTCCCGGGGGCAGGGGTGGCCGGAACGGCTTTCCAGACAGCCTGGCCCCGGTGGGCCCCACCCCACGCCCCGGCTTGGCCTTCCCAGCAAGCCCTGGGGGAAAACACAGGCTGCCCACGGCACGCCGCCCCCGCAGGCCAGAAAGGTGGGAAGTGGAGGCAGAGGCACCCCGTGCCCAGGACTTGAGGCGCGGCCCAGGACTTGGGGTGCGGCCCAGGACTTGGGGTGCGGCCCAGGACTTGGGGCGCGGCGCAGGGTGCGGGTGTGGGGCCCAGCAGGGGCTGGGGAAGGGGACTCACCGGCCCGCCGTGTGGGTCTCGGACGTAACCGTAGGCGACGGTCTTGTCCAGGACGAACGCGAAGCCGGCCCTCCGGGTGTGGCCCACCACCTGGCCGTCCCTCCAGATGGCCTCCAGGCCGAACATGGGCACTTTCCTGGGGGAGGGACAGACACAGCTGGCCCGACAGCCCGGGGGGACACGCCTGCGTCTGCCTGCAGGAGGGGGCGGCGCGTGGGCACGGCGGGTCTGCGGGGGCCCCACCGGCCCCAGGGCCAGCGGCACCCGGCCCGCTGCCAGGGCGCAGCTCTGCGTGGATAGACTGGGTGGACGGGACACGGCGAGCCCTGGGCCCGCCTGGCGTTCTGCAGGGAGGGAGCGCCCGTGTGCGGGGGCGGCGGCCGCGCTTCCCGTGGGCTTCTGAGCCGCAGCGGCGCCAAACCCCGCCGGTCGCGCTCGGCTCTGGCTCACCCTCACAGCCAAACGTGCCCTTTATGAAAAGGACTTTGTTACACGTGATACGTGACCACTCACTGCAATTTTGGGAAATGCAAAGTAGGAAGGTCAAGGAAAGGTGTAACCAGAACCCGGGACACGGCTCACGCCGCGGTGGGGGTCTGCAGGCTTTGCCTGAGGTCCGGTCCTCTCAGCGGGAGGGCGGGAAGCCCACGCTGAGTGAGAAAAACCCGGCAGGTTCACTTTGCCTACTGCACCTGCGGCCCGAGGCCACACTGTTTAGGGCCCACGGGTCAGGGGTCAGGGCGAGGCACGAGGGAGATTTGGTGACGTCCCCCACTCCCTTTGGTCTGGCCCCGTCCCCCAGCAGGCGCTGAGCTCACTCTCTGGGCTCTGATCCTCTCCCCCACCCCCTCACTCCCCACACTTCCTTAGAAGGCTCCAGAAATCTGGGAGGAGCGGCGCCGTTTGCGGCTGGCTGTCGGCTACGCGCCAACAAAGCCCAAAGACGCCGGGCCTTCCTGCTGCCTCCCAGAGCCCCGCGTGGCACAGGTGGGCACTGGCACCGGCATGGCACTGTGGCCTCAGAGCCACCGTGGGCAGCTCCCAGGGACACTCAGGCCCGGCTCTCATCAGCTCTAGCCAGCCCTTAGCGGGGGGAGCCGGGGTCAGGTCTCCCAGGCGTGGTCTCCCCGCCCACCTCTGCCGTGTGGCGGGGCCTAGCCCCTGTGCCTTGGTGCCCAGTGGTCTCCTTTGCAAGTGTGGGTGGCAGCCCCAGCCAGGCCCTGTCACCCCATCGCAGGGCTGAGGGAGGATGTAACCAGAACAGGACGGGAGGTCCCAGCGCGGTGAGCAGGAGGCTGGGCTCCAGGGCAGGCCTCCCCTTCCGTGGCACTTGGCCACGACACCCCAACGGAGGGCTGGCTTGGCTTGGCAGAGCCCTCCGCTCTTAGGGTCTGTGTTTGGGGAGCGTGTGCCTTCCCCCCGCCGGCCCACACCTGGCCCGGCTCTGTCCTGCCCCTGCCTGGCCCGGGAGGGGCCTGCGTTTGAACCTCAGCTGCGTAGTCAGACAGTAGCAGAGTGGGACTCGGTTTCCCCATCTGTAACGGGCTGTTGTGTGCATGCTGGGAGGGTGTGGCCGGCACTCGGGACGTCTCGGTACCGAGAGCTTTGGCTGCTGGGGGCGGTCACTTCCCGAGGCCCCGGGACCGGGGACACTCACTCGTCCACGGTGAAGCACACCAGGCGGCGGCGGAGGCCTGCGGCGCGCTGCTGCTCCAGGGCCTCGCGCCCCAGGAAGGGCACGGCGGACTTGAGCTTGCAGGTGAAGGCCAGGCCCGCCTCCAGGGGGCTGTCGTCCGGCCGCAGGTCTGCGTGCCAGTGCCGGTAGCCTGCGGGAGGGGACAGCGGGCGGGGCGGTGCCCTCCGTGGGGGGCACTTCGGAAGACACACTCGGACGCTGCCGAACCCCCCCAGCCCCAGCCCCCAGCCCCTGTGGCCCCCGTGGCTGGCCCCCATGGCCCGTGCAGCCCAGGCACATCCGCTCCAGAAGGTTCCCCTGGGCAGGGCGGCACCCAGCCCACCATCGGGCCGGGGGCACCAGGGAGGGACTTGAGAGGGGCCTGGGTGACGCCAGGAGCTGCCCCTCCGTGGGGTGAGGGAGGGGGCTTCGTGCAGGAGCTCCGGTGCCCGCTCGGACCTGCAGAGCGCCCAGGGGCCCGCGGCGCTGGTCCAAACCGAGCCCCGGCCCCGCCCCGGTGTGTGCGGGGTGGCGAGCCCCACGCCACGTCTGTGCCGGCGCGGGAGCCCCAGCTCCCAGGCAGGGACGAGGTCTGCCTGCGGGCAGGAGGGTGGGGCGGGGAAGGAAGGAAGCCACCGGGAACGGCAAACCGCCGCCCGGCCGCACCGGGCCGCCCGGACCCCGCGCTCACCTTTCTCGACGCTCAGGGAGTCGATGGCGCGGTAGCCCGCGTTGACGAGGCCGCGCGCCTTCCCCGCCGCCATCAGCGCCCGGTACACGGGCAGGCAGGACGCCCGCGGGACGTGCAGCTCCCAGCCCAGCTCTCCCACGAAGGACAGCCGCACCGCCCGGACCTGGGGACGGGCCGCGGCTCAGACACCCCGGGGCCAGGGCGCCCTTACGGCAGCGGGACGTGTCAGCCAGACGGTCGCCGGGAAACGGGGTCTCCCGACCCAGGAGGGCTCCCTGGAGCCGCCCTGGAGACCCTTAAGGGCAGGGAGGGAGGCCGGGAGGGAGGTGGCCGTCTGGGGCTCCCCGTGTGCAGAGCGCAGATCTCAGTGACTGCGCCAGTTTTTTTGTCACAACGAGTGACCACGACGGGGCGGCTTAAAGTAACAGAAATTAGCTCTTGAGGCCGGGCGAGGTGGCTCACGCGGGTAATCCTAGCAACCTGGGAGGCCGAGGAGGGAGGATCACTCAAGGTCTGGAGTTGGAAACCAGCCTGAGCAAGAGCGAGACCCCGTCTCTACTATAAATAGAAAAGAAAAATATTGGCCAACTGATATATATATGAAAAAAATTAGGCCGGGCTGGTGGCGCTGCCCTGTAGTCCCCAGCTACTCCCCGGAGGCTGAGCAGGAGGATTGCTCTTGATGCCCATTGAAGGACGTTTGAGGTTGCTGAGAGCTAAAGGCTGTACGCCAAGGCACTCTAGCCCCCGGCAACAGAGTGAGGCCACTCTGACTCAGAAAAAAAAAAAAAAAAGAAAAGAAATTAGCTGCTTGAGGTTCTGGAAAGTGTGGGGGCCACTCTTGCTCCGTCAACCACCAGGAGCCCCCCCGAGGGGCAAGGCCCGAGCACTCAGCCTGGGACCACCACCGCTCCACGAAGGGCCACGGAGAGCCCTGCCCACGGAGGCGGCCAACCCCCACCCTGCCGGGGTGGAGGAAAGTCAACCACCGGTCCGCACAGGGCCCCCACCCGTGTGCCGCGCGCATGACCCCCGGCTTCCTCGTTGACCCTGACATGCCAACTGCACCGCCACCCAGGGGCCGGTTCTCAACGCTCTCGAAACAGCGCAGATTTGCGCTGAGTTCCCATTTGCCCAGACCTCTCAAAAAACTCAAAATTGACCCAGCAAACGTGCTGTTGACATTTCCCTGTGTCCCTGGTGCCAGCCGTAGGCCCCTGACAGAGATCGCCTTGTCACCGGGGCTCTAATTTTAGACAGCGTATGCAAGAGCTTGGGGCTCGAAGCCAACCTCATTTTGAAACAGGAAAAATAATTTTTACCGCGCGCCCATGAGTGACTCCACGGTTGCAGTCGCCTGTTGGGACGCTCGCTCCCCGCCCAGCCCGGGGAGACGGCTGGAGTCCGGGGTGGGACGGCGCCGTCCCCTCTCCCGGCGCCCAGCGAGGCTGGAGTTGGTCCTCCGTGCCCGCACGCACCCGGCCCGCAGCAGGCGCCCGAGACAGAGCAACGGACAGGGACACAGGCGGAGAGCCCAGAAAGAGACCCTCGCGAACGGCCGAGCCCTTCACAGGGAAGGCCAGTCTCCCCAACCAGCGGGGCCGGGAAAACCGGGTGTCCACGTGCAGAGGCAGAAAGCGGGCCCACGTCTTATGCCGCATCCAGAAATTCACCCGGAACGGAACGAAGCCCTCACTGTGAGATCTATGACCGCACAACCTCTAGAAGGAAGCGTAGCGGGATCGGAAACGGCCACGGTGTCTGGAGCACAACGCCAAGGCGGGACAGCGGAAGCAAACACAGCCAGACGGAAACGCGTCAAACGACAGAGCGAAAAGGCAACCCACGGGACGAGAGAAAGTATTTGTGAGTCGTGTATCTGATAAGGGTTTTTATCCAGGGTAAATAAAAAATGCTTACCACTCAACAACCAAAAAAAAAAAAAATCAAACATCCCCATTAACCACTTCGGCTCGGCGCTCACCGGCCGCGAGGCCTCGCCCACAGCCGCTCACAGTGCGCGCGGCGGTCTGCGCTGTGCGTGGACGGCGCGTCCGCTTAGCTCCTGTGTGACGAGGGGAGCTTGAAAGCACTGACAGCTCGTTCTACTTTGCAGGCGGCTTCACTTGTCACGCAGATCAGAATAGGTAACGCATACACATGTGTTTTTATTACGTTATTTTTAAAGGCCCACAATTTTATTTTGATAAATGAAAAATTAGAAAAGTCAATTCAAAATTATGGACTACAGTGGACGCTCGGCCGTGCGCCTTCATATCACGGCTGTCGGCTACAGCCGACGCTGGGCTGTGCGCGTTCATCCGTGGCTGTCGGCTACAGTCGACGCTCGTACCGAAGTGGTTAAAAAAAATGGGCAACTCCCTTGAACAGACATTTCTCAAAGGAAGAAGTGCAAACGGCCAGCGAGCGCACAAAGAGATAGATGCTCCAGGCCCCTGGTGACCGGAGAAACGCAAACCAAACCTCCGTGGGCGATCGGCTCACGCGACATGAGGGCGGCTACAGAAAACAGCTCGTGCTACCGAGCCGCGGGGACTGGAGCCCCCGTGCACGGCTGGGGGGCGGCGCAAGCGCCGTGGAAACAGTGGGCGCAGAGCTGCCGTGGCAGGCGCGCTCCGGTGTGACGCAGAGGCAGGGAAAGCGGGGTCTGGGGGGGTGCCTGCACCCCGAGTGCACAGCGGCATCACTCGCGGCACCAGGCGGGGACGACCCGAGCGTCCGTGGGCGCAGGATGCACAGAGCGCTGCCCGACCACGCATGGGAAGGGCGTCCCCACGCCGCCGCGGCACGGGCGAACCCGAGGCGTCGCGCGGAGTGAACCGGGCCAGCGCGGGAAGGACAGGCGCCGTGAGACCCACCCACGTGGTCCCTGGGTCGCCAACTCCTTGGGAATAGGAAGTGGAGCCGGGGTAGCCAGGGGCGGGGATGGGGAATGGCGACTTGTTCAACGGGGACAGAGTTTCCGTTCTACAAAATGAAAACGTCGTTTCACAGCGACGCGAACACGCTTAACACCACTGAACCGCTCACTTCAAGAGGCTTAAGATGGTAACAGCCAACCAGCCACCGACCCAGCCCTCTTCTCCACGACGGGAAACCGAGGCCGGAGGGACTGAGCGACCTGCACCTTCGCGGCGCCTCACCCTGTCCAGGCGCCGGGGACAGAGGAGCCGGGAGGGGCCCGGACGCAGGTGCAGGCACTGTCCCTCCACGGCACGGAGAACGCCGCCCGCCCCCGGCACTCACAGGTGGGCGTCAGGGCATCGGCCGGAGCAGGCACGGCGGCTGGGGCAGGGGCTCTGGGGAGACCCAAACCTGCGGGGTCTGAATCCAGCCCCACGTTCCACCCCTGCAAGCGGGCAGCCCTTTCAGTCCCGGCTTCCTTCGGCTTCTGCGAAGCTAGGCGCCTGCCCGAGTGCCGTGGGGCCACTGTGGGGCCGAGGGACGCGCTCGGCACGGCACTCACTGCAGATGCCGCGGGCGCCCGCCGCTCGGCAAGGCGGGTGCTGCTGGCACCCCCACTTTACAGACAAGGAAACGGGACCCAAGAGGTTCGGTCACTTGCCCAGGCCCAGGGATGTCCTGGAAAATGTTCCACAGTCAGCTCCGGGGGGCGTGGGGGGCAGTTCTGCAGCATTTACCACTTTCCATGGTGTGAACTCTCCCGCCCTGGCCGATTCCAAGCCACCATGACCCTCCAGCCAGCCAGCCCGCTGGTTTTCCTGCAGGCTTAGCTGTCGGCTCTCAGAGCCCGCGTGGCAGCCAGCACTCGCTGAGAAGGCCGCGCCGCGCCGTGCCAGTGGCAGAGCGAGCGTCAGCCGGCCGTTCCCAGCTCTGGAGCGGGAGCCGGCACCGCGGGACCCACTCTCCTCGCCGCCCTTGACTCTGAGCGTTTCTGGGCGGGAGAGGATGCGCTCGGATCTTGGCAAAGCGCGGGTCTGGGGGATTCGATGCTGGGAACGTCCTGCCAGCCGTGCGGTGGCGAGGGCTCGGGATCCAGGGAGGTGCCGGCCCCAGCCTCGGCTCGGCACCAGGGCCATGCTGGCGCCCCGCGCGCTGGGGGCACTCTGGGCGTGCGCGTCATCGGAACCAGCCCGGAGCGCCTTTCTGGGCCAACACCGCGGGAGGGCTCGAGCAGATGTGCCCACAGACACGGGCTGACGCGCCCGGCCTTTTCAGATCACAGCGGCTTGTGGCGGTTTTACAGGGTTCCAGGGCGTTTTGTTGTGTGACGACACCCTCCACATAGCAGGCGTATCCCCCGAACTCGGCCATCCTGAGGATGGGAGGACCCCAGGCACCCCGGAAATAAAGGCAGGCTGAGATTAGAGCATGTGCAGCCTTCTGCAGGGTCTGGGGCTCCAAACCCACAGGAGAGGAGAGAAGCAAGTTGGTGGTAGGACTGGAGCAGCTTCATTTTTCCAACCTTCTGGAGACACCCGTGATTCTAAACCATCCCACTGGGGAGCACTCTCTCCCCCCCATTCGTCTGGCACAGAAGTTCGTGTGTAGGGGAGGTGGTGAAGGGAATGATGGTAGTCATGACAGTGGCAGTCGTGGTGGTTGGTGGTGGTGGTGGTGATGGTGGTGATGATGGTGATGGTGGTGGTGGTGGTGATGATGGTGGTAATGATGGTGATGGTGATGATGATGGTGGTGGTAGTGGTGGTGATGGTGGTGGTGGTGGTGGTGGTGGTGGTGGTGGTGGTGGTAGAAGTGATGGTTGGTAGAAGTGATGGTTGGGATGTGGTGGTGGTGGTGGTGGGGGTGGGGGTGATGGTGACAATGGTGGTGGTGGTGGAAGTGATGGTTGGGATGTGGTGGTGATGGTGGTGGCAGTGATGGTGGGGACAGTGACTGGATGGTGACCAATTTTCCAGGAATAAGAATAAATAAAACGTGTGATGCTCAAACCACACTCGGTACCCTTGAACCTCTCTGAGGATCTGCAAGGCTGTCCAGGAGGAGTCAACCTCAGGGTCCATCTCCCGGTCCTTGGGACCGCTGGGTCAGCCACAGACGCACCTCCAGTCACCTGTCAGAGGACAGCTCATCT